AGGGATGCAAGGGTGGTTCAACATGCACAAATCAACAAATGTGATTCACTGCATAAACAGAATTAAAAACAAAAATCACATGATCATTTCTATAGATGACATTTGATAAAATCCAGCATCCCTTCATGATTAAAAAAAAAACCCTCAGCAAAATAGGCATACAGGGAACATTCCTCAAAATAATAGAAGCCATACATGACAAACCTACAGCCAATGTCATCCTCAGTTGAGAAAAGTTGAATGCATTCCCCCTCAGAACTGGAACAAGGCAAGGATGCCTGCTTTCACTACTCCTACTCAACATAGAACTGGAAGTGCTAGCCAGAGCAATCAGGCAAGAGAAAGAAAGAAAGGGTATCCAAATTGGAAAAGAAGAAATCAAACTATCTCTGTGTGCTGACAATATGATCTTATACCTAGAGAATCCTAAAGACTCCTCCAAAAGACTCATGGACTTGACATATGCAAGTTTCAGGATACAAAATCAACACACACAAAAAAGCAGTAGCACTGCTCTACACCAATAGCAATGAAGCTGAGAATCAAATCAAGAACTCACTATCACTTACATTAGCAGCCAAAAAACTAAAATACTTAGGAATATGTTAACCAAGGAGGTGAATGATTTCTACAAGGAGCACTACAAAACTCTGATGAAAAAAATTGTAGGGGACAAAAACAAATGGAAAAACATCCCATGCTCATGAATTAGAAGAGTCAACATTGTTAAAATGACCATATTAACCAAAGTAATCTACAGATTCACCATAATCTCTATCAAACTACCAATGTCATTTTTCACAGATTTAGAAAAAAAATTGTAAAATTCATGTAAAACAACACAAAAAAAGAGCCAAAATAGCTAAAGCAATCCTAAGCAAAAAGAACAAAGCCGGAGGCATCACGTAACCCACTTCAAATTACACTACAAGACTATAGTAACCAAAGCACATGGTACTGGTACACGGGCAGACACATGGACCAGTGGGACAGAATAGAGAATCCAGAAATAAGCTCAAATACCTAAAACCAACTGATCTTTGACAAAGTAGACAAAAGCCTACACTGGGGAAAGGACATCCTATACATCAAATGCTGGATGCTGGGAAAATTGGAAAGCTACGCGCAGAAAAATGAAACTTAATACCTATCTCTCCCCATATACAAAAATTAACCAGAGATGGACTAAAGTCTTAAATGACAGTTCTGAAACCATAAAAGTCCTAGAAGAAAACCTAGGAAAAACCCTTCCAGACATCAGCCTAAGCAAAAAATTTGTGGCTGCAATCCCAAAAGCAAATGTAACAAAAACAAAAATAAATAAATGGGACTAAAAAGCTTCTGCCTGGCAAAAGAAATAATCAACAGAGCAAATAGGCAACCTACAGAATGGGAGAAGGTCCTCACAAACTATACATCTGACAAAGGACTAAAAGCCAGAATCTACAAAGAACTCAAACAAATTAGTAAGAAAAAAGCAAATGACCGCATTAAAAAGTGGGCAAACGCCATGGACAGACATCTCTCAAAGAAGATGTACAAATGGCCAACAAATGTATGAAAAAATACACAGCATCACTCCTCATCAGGAAATGCAAATCAACACAGAGAATGATATAATGGATTCTGGCGACTCAGAATGGGGGGAGGGGAAAGAGAGGAAAAAACTCACCTATCGGTGCAATGTGCACAGGTAGGGGTGGTGTGGGTACACCTGAAGCCCAGACCAAAAACTATTTGCATCCCCTAATGCTATTGAAATAAAGGGGAAAATGAATAAATAAAGAAAAAATAGAATTCAACATCCATCCACCCATATGTTGTATGACATTAACAAAATTTCTTAGCATATTTTTAGAAGGAAATTTTCCTAACTTAAAAAAAAGACCAGATACGGTGGCTCATGACACCATAATCCCAGCATTTTGGGAGGCTAAGGCGGGAGAATGGCTTGAGGCCAGGAGTTCAAGGTCAGCTTGGGCAACATTGTAAAGACCCTGTCTCTAAGTTTAAAAAATTAGCCTGGCATGGTGGCATGTGACTGTAGCTATTTGGGAGACTGAGGCAGGGAGGAACGCTTAAGCCCAAGAGTGGGAGGGTGCAGGGAGCTGTAATCATTCCACTCCAACCTGGGTGACAGAGTGAGACTATCTCTAAAAAAAAAAAAAGAGGCCGGGCTCGGTGGCTCAGCCTGTAATCCCAGCACTTTGGGAGGCCGAGGTGAGTGGATTGCCTGAGCCCGTGGGTTCAAGACCCACTTGGGCAACTTGGCGAGACCGCATC